TGATGACAGTCTATGCCATTTGAAGATGCAATTATTTTTGTTGTTTGTTTCAGTATATCTTGCCTGGGCTGTTTAAATGCAGTGTCTTTCTTGTGTCAGAACAGTAAAGTAGACAAACAGAACCCATCCATGGTTATAAAGCAGGCATACTATGGCCCGGGGGCCAAATGCGGCTCAGACCAATTTTTTTTTACTCTCAGGCTTCCAGGTGAATTGGCCCATATTACCATCAAAATCTGTCTTGATAAAGCCGATATAAAATACTTTCTAACTTTTAAATGCACATACATTTAAATTATTGACTATATTAACTGCCAGTCTATGGCCCACATTTGGCCCTCTGCTTCATCACTGTTTTGATATGTAGCCCCTGATGAAAAAAATGTAGAGGCAATATGAATAAAAAAAAAATGTGTCAAACATTTTAACCCTTCAAGCTAGGGCTGGGCTAATTAAAAGATTTTAATCTCTTTGGATTTTCATTCCAATCATTTAATCAATTTGCAAGTAAGAATGTCAGGAGTAAACTTCTGTAATGCAATGTTTCGCAATGTAACTGCAATGTTTCAAAATCTCAATTATTAAAAACACAAATTCTTCTTCTTCAGTCCTCCTTCAAGCAAGACAAGAAAAATGATTTGCGTAAGGATTTTTGCTTGTTACGTTGACACTTTCCATATTCCAAAGAAACTTGTTCTGGCAAGTTCCAAAATTATTCTCAGTCATTTCTTATATAAAACAGACTATTATGGAGTTCTGGTAAAAATGCAGTTACATTAACTTAACTGTAAGTTGAAACTGTAAAAGTATTTGGAAAGACTTTAAAATGTGGAAAAAATAACTATAGTTGTAAGAATCTGTCTGCAGTGATTGTTCAGTGTGTCGTCATGGCATACCACTAAAGCGTTTACTGTACGTTTTTTGCCTGGAAAATAATGGTAATTTCAAAGTCTTAAAATCTGTCAGGACTTGGGGGAGACCGGATGGAAAGTAGCCCTAGAGCAGACACAATATTTGGGTCATGTTTTATAGACGTAATATTTAGCTTGAATGAGTGCCGTTTATATGTCTACGCCAGGCCCCTTTCCGGTCACGTAACTGGCCCCAAACTCGCTCCACTCCACAGACGCCTTGTTTTGACTAGACAAGCTGCAGCCACTGATTCCTATCCCACCTATTATATGACTTCCCACATGAATCCGACCTGGTTTCCTTCGCGGAGACTTGACATCCGTGTGTGAATGAGGCACCTGGATGGGTCTGGACCGAGTGGGATACGAGGGTCAGTGTGTCTTCCTCAACTGTCTGCAACATTCTCAGCGCAGTTATCCCGCTGTGTTTGTGTCTGATTCTGAATCATCGTCTGGCCCCATCACCTCTGCGTTCTCGTGCCTTCATAGCATTTTCCCACATGTAATGGATGCGTTTGAGATCATTTTAGATGGGTGATATATACGTCATATATAACAGTCATCGTCAGTGATGATTTCATACATAGGTCCCAATATTTTTCAATTTTTTATGGAGATAGAAGAGAAATGATGGTAAATAGATGACTTTATGTTTTGACTGTATATATAAATGGACATAGCAAACCCGTTAGCCACCGTGTTCCAAATAGGAAGTGAGTGTGGTGGCACTTTCGACTCCTTCGACTGCAAATAACTTTACATTGAAAAATTGTCACCCTTCTCTTTGTAACTCCAACAGAAAGCCTTGTCATTTTGGTCTAAAAATATTTATTAGTATTAACCCACTCTACACGATACTGGAGTTTTTATTTTGCTGTTTTGTCCGTGAAGAAATTCCTATTTCTAATATGGAACTCAGCCCCAAATTCTTCTGCTCTTAGAACTGCTAGTTTCGTGAGCTTCATTTAACTGGAGCCCAGTGCTAAGGGTAATGTCACACTCCCTTAGTCAATTTCTTTATACAGTCTACACAATCAGTCCACTGATCTGAAGGTTAATGTATGCAAAAAAAAAACAAAAACAAAAAAAAACATCTGCAACAGAAAGAGCCATTTACACTATGTTAACCTAGTTTGAGTATGGCGAACAAATCAAAATTCCAGTAATGTGATAATAGCTGTCATAAATCCTGTCATCTGTTGGCGTCTGCATTACCCAGATTGAAAACATATTGTCACCAGGAGCACTATTCTGTGACAGATTGTGTCCAAATTTAATAGAAGGCAGTGTAGTGATAGACTTGTCCCATCACTGTACACTTGAAATTAAATAAAATATCTGAATTGGCAGACTAGCTGTTACTGTTGTCACAATACTAAAATATCAAAGCAGATTTTGATACCAAGGAAAAGCTTGATACGCCATAACAATTTTGAAACCACAATAACAATAAAAACAAAACGTTAACCCTAACCCTAACCCGTAGACAATAGACAATAGTTTCTTAAACTGCCCAAATAATGCTATTTTTTGATCTATGTTATAATGTTTTTTCATCAAATACATACCTGGAGTTTTTAACACAATAATCCTGCATACTTAGGCTGTGTTCTTCTCTCAAATGGAAAACATTCTGTTCTAACTTGTAATCTCATGTGGTAATACAGGAAGAGTTCTATTTAGTTTTGACACTGCATACACTTTCACTAGAATCATTTGGATGATTTCAGCCATGGAATTTCCGGTATCGACTAAACAGAAGGTAAAGGTAGCTGTTAAATTGAAAACTTCCGTTCCATAACATCACAAGGTGGAAGAGAGGATTTTGAGCTTTGGTTTGTAAGCAGGCAGAATAAGGGTTACACAAAACATATGTGAATGAAACAAAACACAACTCCAGGTATGTTTTTGAGGAGGTAACAATGTTCTAGTATGGCTAAAAGCTCAATAGTCAGTGTTGCGTAATATGGGACCTTTACATATTACAATGCGATCTTATTCTAGTTCGGATATAAATACAAACCATTATAAAACTACACAGGTAAGGTCATTTTTTTGTTTTACTTCAGTTACTTGATACTTGCTCAATTTGCATCTACTACTTTTAGCATTAATTAGTATCTGGTATTGCTTTTTACCAACCCTACTTGCTTTTGAAAATGGCCTTCTTATGAAAGCAGCGGTCCTTTTCTGCAGGCATCTGTGAGCACGTGCCAGTGTTTTGCCTCCCATGTGTGCTAGACCCTCTCGTGCGACAGACCAGACCCTGCCCCACCCTGCTCACTTCACCTTGGACCTTGCCCACGACTTGGCCCCAGGTTGAACCAGCGTAACCCCGGTGACCCCGAGCAGCAGAGTGTGAGACAGCTGCGCAGACATGTGAACAGATCCAGATCACCCATCCACTGTGTGAACGCTGGGCCTGGTATGTGAGAGGCAGTGTTGGAAAATAAGTGAATGTACTGAAAATACAGATTCTGAATACTTACTTTGAGTACCTGTATTTTGGTACAGTTACTTTTTCATTTGGTGCTATTCAGATATACTATTCAGGTATACGTTTTTAAAAACAAAGGAATATATTATCATATTTCATCATATAATTTAGGCTTAAATCTGCACATAATCAGTGCTCTTGTAGTGAGTGCACGTGCAATTTTTCTTCCCCAATGAGTGACAGGAAATGCATAACACTGAAACAAATATAAAGATGTTTTTTTAATAATCTGTTGCGTATTTACACTTCAATGTAATTGCAGCTTGTTGTAAAAGTATTCTAAGTGTTCAGAATACATGTAACAGAATACATTCTAAAATAGATGTTAATTCAGATATTCAGTATTCTGTAATTAAACATATTTTCATGGTATTCTTCCCATCACTGGAGACAGTGCGGGGGCAGGGAAGGATGGGAGTGATTGACTGGTGCTTGTAAAGATATTGGTAATAAGGGCTCGGCAATCCATTGATAGATGGAATGGTGATCTCATGCCTGTGATTCATGTTTGATGCGCTTTCGGTCACGTAGGCCTATTGTGATTCATTGTTTCTCTATTTAAAGGTGCACTGTGCAACTTTTCTGGTGGAGGTCCTGGTCTCCATGCAGACATTTTTGCTTTTACCTAGAATAATCCATGGTATGATATTTTTTCATTACTGTTGAACATTCTGAACAAAACAATAACATTTCCATGGAGATAAGGAGGCGGTAGACCACCACTAGAAATGTTAGGCAGTTACAGTTGTGGATAAAATTGTTGGTACCCCTCTGGCAATGAAAGAGAAATCAACAATCATCACTGAAATAACTTGACACTGATAAAAGCAATAATAAATAAAAATTTACTGAAAATTGTCCAACAAAAATCAAACATTGCTTTTAACCTGTGGTTCAACAGAATTATTAGAAAAAACAAAATAATGAAATTGACCTGGACAAAAATGATGGTACCCTTAACTTTATATTTTGTTACACAACCTTTTGATACAAACTCTGCAAACAAACTATTTCAGTCACTGTCAATGAGACTTCTGCACTGATCAACTGGTATTTTGACCCATTTTTTGTGAGGAAACTGTTCTAGTTGTCTCAGGTTTGAAGGGTGCCTTCTCCAGACAGCATGTTTCAGCTCCTTTCACAGATAAGATGTTCACAAGAATTGAGATCTGGGCTCACAGAAGAACACTCCAGAACAGTCCAGTGTTCTGTTCTTAGCCATTCTTGGGTGTTTTAGCTGTATTTTTTGATTCATTATCCTGTTGGAAGACCCATGACCTACAACTGAGTCCAGGCATTCTGACACTAGGCAACACATTTCGGTCCAAAATACCATGGTAGTTTAGAGTTTTCGTTGTACCTTGCACAAATTCAAGACACCCTGTGCCAGATGCAGCAAAACAGTCCCAGAACAAAACCAAGCCTCCTCCGTGCTTCACAGTAGGGACAGTGTTCTTTTCTTGGTGTGTTTCATTTTTGCATCTGTGAACATAGAGCTGATGTGCCTTGCCAAAGAGCTTCAGTTTTGTCTCATCTGTCCAAAGAACATTCTCCCAGAAGCTTTGTGGCTTATCAATATGCATTGTGACAAATTCTAGTCTCACTTTTTTATGATTTTACTATCAACAGTGGTGTTGAAGTTTTCACATGAAGTCCACTTTGGCTCAAACAGTGATGGATGGTGTGATCTGACACTGATGTACCTTGCCCTTCAATTTCACATTTAATTTCTTTGTAGGTTGTTCTGGGCTCTTTGGTTCCATTTGTATGATCCATTTCTTCAATTTGTCATAAATTTTCCTTTTGCAGCCGCATCCAGGGAGGTTGGCTACAGTTCTGTGGACCTTAAACTTCTGAAGAACATGTGCAACTGTAATCACCGGAACATCAAGCTGCTTGGAGACGGCCTTATGGCCTATATCTTCATTCTGCTTGTCTAATTTTCTTTCTAGTCTCCTGACACAGTTCTCTTCTTTCTCTGGTCCATGTTCAGTGTTGTCTCCATCATGTCTCCAAACAGCACAATGACAATATGTCTCCCTTTAAACAGGAAGACTGACTGAGGACAAGTTTGAAGACACCTGTGATGCAGATTAGAGGACACACCGAAGTTTAACATGTCCCTGTTGTTCAGTTACTTACAATCTTTTCTAGAGGTACCATCATTTTTGTCCAAGCCAGTTTCATTAGTTTGTTTTTTTTAATAATTCTTTTGAACAACAATTCAAAAACAGTGACTGATTTTCTTTGGTTATTTTTCAGGATTTTTTTTTATTTATTATTGCATTTCTTAGTGTCAAGTTATTTCAGTAAAAAATTTTGATTTTTCTTTCATTACCAGAGGGGTACCAACAATTTTATCCACAATTGTATATCCCTTAAGACGGACACTTTCCTATACACTTCTTGAACTGTTTAACTTCTGTTAGGCTCTGAGTGAGTGAGTGGCAGTTAGATTTAACCCTTCCCAGAAAAGTATGAACACTCAGAAGAAGCAGAGGACATTTCGACTTAAAGGCAATAGAAAAATACAGTATTAAAAGTATATAAAGTATTGTAATCTGATTCCAAAGAAATCATGATATAACTTTTTTTGCCTAATTGCCCACCCCTGTTTGAGATGGATTTACATTGTAATCTTCAGAGCTGACATTTTTTAAATTCAACATTTATAAGAATGTCGAGTAGAAATACAAAAAAAATACACTTCATTTTGATAACAATGAAAAGGTTGGATACTCAAACGCAAATATACTAATATTTGAGGAATCCCTCTTTCCTGTTTTCCAAACTACATTTTCTTTACCAGTATGGAATTGTTGTGAAACATATTCTAGTCAGCAGAGTTCTTATGTAAACCAGGCTGTTCACAGGTCGGTCTGAAGGTTGGAGGCTTTGTGGCCATGTGTTAAAGAGCACTGCAAACTCCAACCCATTCTCATTTTTAACATGATCATATTTTACATTGGTGAAAAGTTGCTAAAATTGATTGTAAGGCTGCTGAGTGGTTATGTATATTTATCCTCATCTGTACAATTCAGATGCACTTTGTTTGGTCATCACATTAGCAAAGTGACTCAGAAAGTACAAGTTCAAGAACTACTAACAGCTATTCAGTTCAGGGAGAAGTTACAGTATGATGCAAATTGGACTTTAGTAGCACAGTTGGTCATTTGCAGGTCCTTAGTGCAAACCTAATCTGCTTTTTGTAGTAATAAAAAGGCCCAGAGGAATTTGAAAGCATCAGCGGTGAGGTAACATGATCAATTGTAATTGATCGCGTTATCTCACACACAAAGCAGATTCTCAGCTAACGAGGAGGCATCTAAACATTACTTTAGAAACTGTACATATTTTTGTGGACTTATATAGGCCCCTTGTATTGGATACAAATTCCACTGTCCAGCTCACTCTCTCTCCACACATTAATTGGTCCTTGGACACTGTGTTTACATGTAAGGCTTAAACCACAGACCATAGCCCTGATGCCATAACATCCGTTCAGCCTGTACCCTAAAATAGCATGGCCTCCTACCCCTTTATAATCTCTGACAATGTAATAGCTAGTCCTTGAGTAAAGCGTGAAAAACACAAGCTGACAGACACACACTGGCCTAACCTTTGGTGGTATGCATATAAATTTGCACTAGATTCCACACCTCGAGAAGGCTTCTGCATTTCACCTTTTAGCCCCATCTGTCTTGTTTGTAAAGACGCTCTCAATCATGTCAGTCTTATGTCTCATTGTTGGATGGAGGCCTGGAAGGACAAGCTAAAGCAAGATTCAGCCATATTTCAGCTCTACCTATAAACTGTTTAGGCCAAATACCTCTCAAAAACTCTCTCCTATCACTTTAATCTATACTGACATGTATAGCTTGTGTAGAATCAAAATATAAAGGAGCTCCACTTCCTAACACTAACTTCCCTGGAACCACCGCTGATCTAGCTGTAATAATACAAAAAAAATCTAACTCTATCTCTTTTTTACATGAAATAATAGTTTTAAAAATATATGTATTACCATGTACTTTGACCATGACTATTTCTCATAATTAGTATGTACAAACTAGTCAGGAAAGATCCAGCTAGTATTTCCTATTAATGTATTTTGTTATTTAAAGTTCTAGAGACTTATTTTTGCTTTCCACAGTCTGTGATTCATGGAAATATTTGAGACACAGGATGTTCCCCTGACCGAGCATTAGAATGAGTTCCTTCCATTTCAGTTCAGACTTGCTACAAATCTTCAAATAAATCATCTTATGGTTTAGGTTAATGGCTGATTGCAATCTCACTTCTGTTTGATGCTTCATTTGTTTTGTTTTCTCTTCAGTTGTGTGTTGTGCAGTAGGAAAACCGTTTGTATTGTGAAGGTCGAAAGGTGATTACCAAGACTGTTAGCGCTCTGCATCCAGCCTTCTGATGTGGCAGTTTTCTTCTTCACATAAACATTTAGTGCGAATGTTTTGTTTCTAACAGAAATGTCAATTATTTAATGTTCAACCTCAAGTACTGTTAACACTGTATTATGGTCTGTACTATGGTCCTATTTGACAAGCAGGTGGCAGGTCTCAGCACCCAGTCTGAATAAGTGCAAGATAGATCACTTTTATGCCATACTGACATACAGTGGAACATTACAACAGCAACACTCTTTGATATGAATCTTATTTAATGGCAGGTAGTTTACTTAGCTTCAGCTTTCTCTGCAGGTGGAGGGTGTGAGACCCTGGGGCACTTTTCTATTTCTATTGATTTTCTGTCTGTGACTTATGTATTGATTTGTGTGACTTATGTATAGAAGCTCACACCAGCTGCTAACC